AGGTGAAACGTCTTCAAGTAACTTAAAGAAGTCCAGAAGCTTTTCTTTGCAAGCTCCTTTGACAACAAGTCCTCTAAACACATGTTCAGTTTCAGGCCTCAAACAGCTGCAGTTTTGTGATGTTGGTGGAGTGGAGGGCTGCTCCGAGAAGGTGAAGGTTTACCTGTTTCATCCTCAGTGTTTGGTAGCTTTGGAATAAGCTCATTTTTTATGAACATCAGTTATTCAGCAGTTTGTAACTGTTTTATCATTCATATCAGTTCTTTGCAACAAGCTTGAACTGAAGGGCCGTTTTTATTACCAACTGAAAACTGCACATGAGCTGAAACCAGATCTTTAATCTTCCATGTGTTGCTCCAGAGGTGGGACCAAGTCTCAAGTCTTTATCCTCAAGTCAGAGTCGAGTCCGAATCTTTGAATTTCAAGTCCGTTCAAGTCTTTTTTTAAACAACGTTGCAGTTATATGTTAAATATAAATAACAGATGTGTTCTTGTTGAGATCTGCGTTCATCTCAACACCTGAGGAACTTGCAGAATATACACAAAGTGATCCTGAAATCGCACCTCAGTAATGTACAGCTCAGCCGCAAGAAGAGTCACAGAATAAATATTCAATGAAAAACCAGAACTTCCTGTTCAGACGGGAGACTGTACAGAGCAAACAAGCATCGCAGTAAATTTACTGCAGCATGTCTCGTCTGCTCTCTGTTTGTGTGTCCATGTGTGAGTGACACACACACACAGTCTGAGTTTTGCATATTGTATTTGGTTTTTTGTTGACTTCATAGTTTATGTACCTGAAAGAAACGAATCTCAGGAGCATTTTTGGCCTGACCGTTTGTTTGTTTTGTGTTTTTTTAAAAAAATCTGGTTCATCTGATTGGCTGTGATACAGCTCACGCACACATACGTACGCAGTGTGGTAAGAATGAAATGAACTAACAGTGCGCACTTTTTATGTCATATGTGTGTTACATTTTAGATTTGGGGTAAAATATCCAGTCAGGTTCAAGCCCGAGTCATTGGTTTAAAAGTCCAAGTGAAGTCTAAACTTAATGACACCAAGTCATGTGACTCGAGGCCACACGTCTGGTTGTCACTGCAGATCTTTGATGCTGAAACTAACAGAACAAAAACTGCGTTCTGATCTTCGCCGAGGTCGTCCTCGTCAGTGTTCTGCACAGATGTGTCGTTGGGTCAGCGCAGATCATGTTTGAGGAACAGGGAGAGCGAGTTTCCTCTCTGCCACCTTCAGAGCTCAGTCGTTCGTAGATTATTATCTGACTGCGTGGTTAGATCTGATACTGAACATAAAATACCTGAAATCCAAAATAAATTCAGATGTATTTACAAAGTAGGAGGACTTTGGTGCAATGTCTGGATTACAGTAACGCGTACCGGGATGTCCTTCACTCACTGCGGGAGGACGGCCTGATGTCATTCATGTCTTTGGCGTCCGCTGGACTCCGAGCAGGTCTGGACCGCATGTCGGAGGTCGGACTAACGATCCCACCAGGACAGGAGGAGGTGTCACTGCTGAACAGCTCTGCTGTTGGGACGAGCAGCTGGACGAGGACAACTCGAGGTTCCCTATAATCCCCACAGTATTTCAGCACATCTGGAGATGCTCCTGGTGGTTTTATACACTCTTGGTTTTCAGTTAGCACTGATCTAAATTACTGTTAGAATAAAATGAAAACGAAGGTTGTATTTAACGTAAAGAACGCTTACACATCACTCCACCTGTTCTGGATGAATGAATAGTCTGTGTTTGTGGCAGTGACTGGGAGAGAGCTCTGCTGCACACAGCACAGCCCACAGGATGAGGAAGCTGGAGGGGCTGCAGAGAATGATGGATCCTCGAGAATGTGACCTGGGCAACAGGCGTCAAACCAACAGTCACACCTAACATGGACCAAAATACTGCGTTAAATACTGCGTTAAATACTGCGTTAAATACTGCATTACTTTGCTAAAACATTCAGATTACAGTTAGACAAAGCTTAGCTTCTCTCAGTGTTCGATGCTACACAGAGTTTAACCAAAACATGTGGAACTATTAACAACTACACAGAGTACTGTAACCATGCAGTGTTGATGTGACCAGTACTTTACTTGGTGATCAGCTGCCATTCTTTGGGCTCCTGGAAATAAAGATTTCCTTTGAATCAACTGTAAAACAGAGATGTTGTAACCTTCAGGCAGGACTGATGGGG